GGCTGTGTATGAGGGTTGAATTCCTGACGAGGTAATTCGCGAGGGCAGAGGGAAGTAATGTCCCGTGGAAAGTAGAAAGGAAAAGCTCGTAAGGGGGCGAAATTCAAAGTGAATTTTCCAAAGTAGGCAGCACATTACGGCGCGCCGTCAATCGACTTTGTTAGGGAGTAAAGTTGTCGTCAGACGTGCGCGCGAAGTCGCGTTTAGGCATTTCGTGGAGAGCTTTTCAATCCACGTGGATACGCCGTTAACGAACGATGACACGTCGGCAGATGCAAATGTATCGTATGATGTATATTTCATTTCGCGAGTACGGGATTCCGTTCACATTGTTCGTCAATTTATCCGGAATTATTAAATATAACTTTCTCAGTATCACGTGCGTTATAAAAAAAAAAAAAAAAAAACGCTTGAATATAATATTAATAGTATATTAAATTACATCTACTACGATAATCACAAAGTAAGGTTTCGTTGTCCGACTCAGAATGTTCATTCGCGAAATCGCTTTTATTTTTAGATATTAAGTAGCGCGCTAAATGCAGGACGCTGTACACGGGGGAAATTCGCGGTCGAACGAAATCGTATTGTACATTTCGACTGCGCTGCGCACGTTAAATCCCGCATATACGTTCAATCGGACGTCGCTCCTCTTGATCGCGGAATTTAATCAACATCGAAGACTTTTCTTTATTGCAAGTCGTCAAACGCGTTTAAGTAGAATAAAAGCGTACGGTGGCGCGCGATAGAGAGACGAAGCGAAATTGTAAAGAGAAAGAAGAAAAAGAAGGAAGTGATGGAAGAAGGAGAGAAAGGGAGAAGAAGACGAGAGGAGGGGAAGGGGGGTGGGGGAGAGGCTGGAGAAGAGAAAAAGCACGGCCAAGAGGGGGATGGACCGCGCGCGGTTTTCATCTGCGAAAATTAAGGAGGAATCCGCTGCGCACCGGTAAGAAAGTCCGCGCTAATTAAGGCTGTTTCTTCGGAGATTTCCTCTTTCGTGGCGCCGGCCGGCCGGCCTGAGCTTTTAAATAAATTATACCGAGTTAAAAGCCTCTCTTCGCACTTCTCTCCTCAGATAATCCGTGAGGCTGTTTCGCTCCCGAAGTTATACCCGGGGGAGAAATCTCGGGGGGTGGAAAACGAGCGACGAGCGTTCCCCCTCCCGCGTTATAGGTATAATGCACCGAGTGATCTAGCGGGGAATACTTCCCGTTGCGATTACGCTGTGAAACAAATAGAATGTACGTCCGGCAGCTGCTGTTATCGCTTCGGCGTTTAAACGAGAGTACGATCGATGCAGCGAATTCGGATTCACAACTCTTCCCTCGTTGACTTCTCTTGCTTGTTGCTGCACAAATCGTATAATTAGATTTATTATTGGAATGTTCCGTGCCCATTTTTTTTCTGAACAGAAACGTTCAAGGATTAACAATTTTTGGGATATATACGACTGTACGCAAAGGTTACCTCGGAACCTAAAGAAAAAATTATTAAAGCTATCCTCATGAAGCATAAGGCCCCGATGAGGCTAAAAGTAGGGATGCCTCATTATTATATCAGGCTCTGAGATGGATCTTTTAGGGATACCTTAAATTTTACGAATTTTAAGGCTCTGATAGGAAAAGCTGAAAAGGACTTTAGACGAATTTTTTAGGAATGCCTTAGATCTGATAAATAAGGCTTTGATAGGGAAAACTGATGTGGGACCCTCAGAAGGATCTTTTAAGAATGTTTTAGATATACAAAATCAAGTTTTGTTATAGAAAATTAATAATAAATTAATAATAATTAATAATCTGCAGCGTGTAATAAAATTGTCATAGTTTAGTGTTGTTTTAGTAGGTACGTTCTGTCTAGTTCTTTTAAAGATTTTTTAATTTATACCGCAGTTAAAAATAAATTTTATTATTAGTTTCATTAGTTGCCATATTTATTAATCTCTTCCAAGGATTTTTCTAGTATTGCCTTCGTTTTAAAATGTAACAAACTCTAATAAGAACAGCAGGATTTTTACGTGTGAAAGAATGTGCTATATTTTATTGTAAAGTATAGTACTTTGAGATAAAAAATTCTTATTGTATATCAACAAGGTTATAAAAAAATAAAGAAATTACAATTTAAATTTCTTGGAATGAAAAGAATATTTTTACTCAAGCAATAGCAAAAATATTTCGACTCACAATTGCAAGAGTGAATGTCTCACTCAAACTTAGAATGGATTTTAGCTCCGTATCTTAATATTACTCACAAAACTCCCATTAATATTTCCTTATAAGGAGCCGTTAGACCATTTGTACATTTATACATCTTGTAGAACCCTTGTCTTTCTTATCCCTGCTAGGACCCCATTAATGTAAGGGAAAAATAATCAGGCCCTTACCAGAGCCCTATTAATTGTTCTACTCGGGAATCTATATTTAGGAAACACGAACAAATGGCAAAATCTTATCCCTTTCTAGTTTATCTTCCCGTCGCTTTTCCTTCTTGTCTTACTTTTTCAATTATATTTTTATTCTCTATCGTAGTTGCAAAGAAGGTAGAAAAGATTTCGAAATATCGAAGAAAAAATAGTTATCAGAGCTTGATCAGAACAAAGCACGCCTGTGAATCGTTAGGATCGATCCTCGAAGAATTGTGGCAGGGACGAAGATAGGGTAGGCAGTAACGCCAGTCCGACGATGAAGATTCTACATAGCGCAGGAAACGTCGGTTAAGAGCAGTTGTAAACATGCCGGTCGGCTTTTCGGGATTTCGAATTGTTCGTTCTTTGTAAGGCGTCGTCGACCGACACCGAGTCGTCGTTAAGGCCATTGTTCTCACGGTTCTCCCGGCACGGTTAAGAACGTCTCGACGGCTCCGCCACCTCGAGTTAAGTAGATGTTTCTCAGGACGTCGGGTGCATTTTTAAATAATTCGATGCAAAGCAGCCAAGAAAAGACGCGAATTCTCTCTCCTGGTAGCCCCTTACCGCGCGCTACCCGGCTACGCAGGAGAGAGATGAAAGAACGAATGGAATTTCCATGGGATTCGCGCTCTTCCTCACGCGGCAGACGTGGCTGGAAAACGCGAGCGATTCGGAGCGACTTTTACAACTTAATTTTTGCGTATTTGCGAGGTGCGACAAAACGGGGGAGAGGGGCCGGGGCGGGCGAGAGAATTGGCTTCACGGGAGAAAAGTAAATTTTCCAACGCGTTTGCTCACGCACACATGTCACGCGTTTGTAAGCGACGTGCCGTCGCTGAATTAAAGACATTTTATTAATACTTCGTCTAATAAACCGGGCTATTACAAATAAAGAGCAAACGCGATTTGAGCTCGCTCGATTTATCAAATCTTTGTCAAATGTCGTGTAAACATAAAACTGCGATAAATCGAAAAGTCCACTCGTCATTGATGTAACACGGTCTCATAAAATTTTCATCGAAAATAAAGATTTGAGGTTTAATAGACTCTAGACACTTTTGTACCAAAACTGGCATAATCACGATTATAGTAAATTGTTGAAATCACTATATGATTCCTTAATCGCGCGATATAAACTAAATCAAAATTTTCCTTTCGTTTTCAAGAAAAGTGACAATTTTCCAAAGCGCGATAAATTCTGCAAAAATGAAACTATAAATAATTACAACAAAATACTCAAATTTTCTTGACTAAAAATCCAATTTCTTTGAAGCGGACCGTCATCATGTTGATAAAGTTAGGCAATGCGCCTTGAAAGGTATGACGCCGACCGTCTTACGCGGTAAAAGCTACGTTACTTTATCAGTATATGAAAAAAACGCGAGGCATTGCTCTTCCTTATTATAATTTATTGCTCTTATCTCAATCTTATGTTTTCCGGAGGATATACGTTGCGAGTCTTCCCCACTATCTAAATCTAGAGAGGTTCTTACGAGCTGACTATCAAGTAGCGAAGATAGATGCTAAGTCAGACGATGAGATATCACTCCCGGCAGAAACAGCCGCGGTGCATTTACTAATACCAATATGGATGAATCCTCCAAATAAATCGCCGTAACGCGAGCGACACAAAGTAAGGACGAGACAAACAAAGAAACAAAAGTTCAGATTAATTTGACAAATATTCGAACAACCTTGAAACGAGTCATCGAGAAATGTCGCGCACCACCTTATTATTTCGCGCGCTTTACGTCATTTCCAAATTCCGCAATTCGCGCGGACTGTGTGAGAGCAGATTGCTAGTACAGATTACTATATGTATAAGACGGCGATTCTCCGAATGGAAGCTGACTATCAAGTAGCAAGGATAGATGCCAGGGCGGACGGTATTAACCACTCCGCCTATTGGTATTGGCACATGCGCTCGGAGAAAATATCGCCGAGTCGAGAATTCGCGAATAAATCTAAATAACCTTCGTATCGGAATACCGCGCTCTTTCGTATCTCGATCCCACGTATTTATTAAGAATTGCAATGGTAAGAGGGTAGATAGGGGCAGGATTTCTCCCCCTCGTGCGATAACAGATATATCATATTTTATTTCTCATTGTCTAATAAAAAGAGGAAAACACTCGGAAGAAAGCCGGAGAGAGGTCAAAAGGCTTCCGTAATGTAGACGCACGGCTCGTAATGTACACGACATGAAAAGTACATTTTGGAAAATGCATAGATATCATGTGACACGCGCGCTGCTGAATAATGCCCAAATAAATGAAGATATACATATATATATATACGCATATAAACAAAAGTTACCAAGGCCCTGGATGACGAGGGAATCGGAAAAGTCAAGCAGTAGTAAAAAAGGGAGGTGCAGGTTTCCTCTCAAACACTTTATATATCGTACAATTTATTCCTTAGAAACAGGGGGATACATCATGAGGATAATGCTGTTGTTTATTTATACATTTCATTCTTCAACTTCCAAATCAAAATATAAAATACTGGTAAAATTTATACAATCTATTAGATTACGTGAATCATCGTAGAAAATTCGAAAGTAACGATAAAGGGACAACTCACAAAGCTCGTCCGTATAAAGATTAACGTGCAAATTGAATACTTGAAATTGAACATTTCAATTTACAAGCGTGTTCTATAAATCTCGCATTCGCACACACATATATATATATATTCATGCGCATATATATTCGCATTATCAGCGGTATGTATCGATCTTCCTTTTCAAGTTACGTGTATCATTTGTTCTCTTAAAACCCGATCACTTCTTGCAAATCAATCGCGCGTAACTCGGAAAAATACCAAGCAGCATAATTTTACGGTACGGTATCATCGCTCATCGCGCGAAACCGCTTCGAGCGATACTCGCGAACACGAACGGCGCTTCTCTATCAATATATTTAAAAATCGACGTCACTTTTTGCAAACGGAAAATTATAATTACGCCTATTCGCACCTTTTCTACCAATCGCACAATCTACTTATCTCTATCACCTGTCACTTCCCCACGCATTGACGCCAGCGGAAACAACGCGCGAACGCTTCTTCTGTTTCGCACCAGATTGTTCTATGTCAGTCCAGATCCAAAACCTCCCCAGGAACAAAACTGTCCTCGCGATTCCCCTTTTGGCCTCTATCGACGAAGTGATTGTCGGGCGATAGATCCTTGCCGGTGAAACGGCTTCCAAAATTCAGAAAATCCGTGTCACATGGGCTTCCGGCCTGCACAGGTTCGGAAAAACATTCTCTTTTCCGTCGCATTGACCGTAATTACTCTCAAAGGTTTTTACTTGAAGCAAAAAGCTGTCCGCGTCGTCGTTCTCCATCGACTGTCGGTGCAGTCGTCGCGGCGACGGCACGGTCGCGCACTGCTGCAGGACGTTGTCGCAAAAGTCCACCATGATATCCGTTTCCTAGAGCGAAGCGTCAGACATTCGGACAAGTTGTTGTTAGGGTCGAAGTTAATCGAACGACGAAAGAGGAATCCGCCATTGAAGTGGCTTAATTTGCTATTTAATTTATTATTACATTGTTAGAACAACAGTTAGAGTTAGTTTAGTTGGTGCATTTAAAAACAAAAAAACAAAAAAAAAAAGAGAAAAGAAAACACGAACACACGATGAATTAACAGGCACGCGCGTGTCCACGCGACTAAAATCGAGGAAGAGCCTCGACGATTGTTCTCTTTACTTACAAATTTATTTTTATCGTCGACAACCTCGACGACGTTGCCCTGCTCGGTCGTGGTGATAATGCCAGTGCCGAGCTTTTTGCCGAGTATCTTCACCTCTTTCCGGCATCCTTCGGACGCCGCGTCCATTATATTGGGCACGCAGGTGCTCGTCTGTAGAGTCGTGTTTTTGAGAAACAGCTCGAAAGGACTGAGCGTCCTGGTGGTGTCTTGATAGTGCGCAGTGATCGTGTCGCGATTGTGATTTTTCGGTCCCAGAATCTTCACCTCGTTGTAACCGGGGAATATCTTTGGCGGTGGCTGGCAAAACTTGTCACTGAAAAGCTGCAAAATACGAATGCAAATACCTCTCTCGTATAATGCGTTAACCGAATAGGATCATGTCCTTATAAGATCAATTTCATCCACAAACTTTGATGCTCTGATTTCCGGGGTCAAGCATATTCATGTCTGATTGACCGAACGGTATCAAGCCGGTATCGCAGTCGTCGTCAAACATAGAGGACAGCTTCATCTTTGGATCGTATTCCGAATGGTGATCTTCAACAGGGGAGACACCGAGGATGTTTAGATCCTCCACAAAGCTCTGACCGCTCTTCAAGTATGGCAATGTCTCGTTCAATAGCGACAATGGTGGATGGTTCTTCGTTAACAGAGACGATAACGAGGAGTGCGAGCTGGTGGATAGGTTCGAGGATTGACCCAAGATGCCCGTTAAATCTTGTTGGTTCGTTGGCATAGCCATTACTACAATCGATGAACATGGATGAGACTTACAAACATACCTACGTCTGAAAATCGATTTTACGTCGCGTATCGTACACGAGAGAATTGTTTCCGAAAGAGCATCTTAACCCGCAACTGCTGTGAAGCCATTTTAAGTACGCGCACACTGTTCACCGGTCAAATTGACCGGTAGGAAACGGAATTGATGAATATCTTGACAAATAACACGACCACACAACTGCGCGTATATCAGTCGACTGACATTCAGAATGTAAGAAAATACACTGACGGATGAACACGCAACTAGAAAATTAACCGCGTTATTTCAATTTCAAACAGCGCAATGGTCTCAAATTGACCGGAGAACAGCAGTTACGGGTTAAATATAAATGTATTTCTTTATATCACCACAATATCGCGACAATCTTCTCCTGAACTCTGACGTATTGTAAAGTAACAAACATGTATCAAAATTTTCTATGCAAACTCAATCATTGACCGGGTTTCCAAAATACACAATTTAAGTGAATTATTGAATAATATCCCGACTGTTTCAGTCGTATTTATACGCCAGAATATGTCTTGAGAGACGTACGTACGTTCGACAGTTCGATGGTATTCTAACTAGTTTTATATAAATTGAGACGTTATCGCAAATTCACCTACCATCGCCGTGCCCCAGCAACGCGCTATCGCCGTCGATACCCAGCGATTTGGGACCGAGCACGAGATCGTCGATTTTGGTCTGGGAAAGGAATGTTATGCCATCCACGAAACGATCGTCGAGGCTTTTACCCTCGAGAATCCTAATGTCTTTGTCCTCGAGAATTTCGATGCCGTCCATTGACATAGATTTCTGGCCGGATTCCAGCACCATGATCTGATTATCGTTGTCGCCGATGATGACGTCACCGTTATTGCGTATATTGGCGAGATTGATAGCGTCCGCCTGTTCGCCGTCAAGAATCGTTACGTCGTGGGAATTCTGCGCCATCAAGTCGCGAGCTTCGCTGTTCGTCATAATCTGCAAGCATAAACGCGCGCGCGCGCAAATAGCACGGTCGATGTTGAGAGTTGTTAAAGATAACATATATGCAGTGCTCTCGATTGCTCATTACGATACTGTTGATCGAAACGCGCACAACCAACGTCGTTGTTTCCGTTGCGTTCTTAGCTTATGACAATTGTAGCGTTGATATTTCGCAAGAATCTCGGGGAAATCGATAATAACAATTACATTTTACCAAAGCGATTAAAATTTAGAATTAAAAAAAGATATACATATAATAAAAAAGTATATGCAATAAAAATTTACATATATAGCGAGTACCCGGGATCTTTTGAAGAAGAAAAATTGTAAAGATTAATAATCAAAACTGAAAAAAAAATCAAATACCATTTTGCAAAAATCGTAATAGTTTAATCAAGTTATTAAAATTGAAGATGACCACATTCAGAAGTTCTTTCAATCGATAACTTGAAAATTTGCGTATTTATATTTGGTAAAGGACTTTTTCGTTCAGAATGACCTAATCTACAATTATATGATGACTATTGTGCCCAACGACAGATTTGGGATTCAGGGTTCAAAGTTCAGTATGCTCATATCTATCGCTAGACATCGCTAATTTGATGATTTTTAAATTTCAAAAGGTCGATAAATTGATAAAAGTTGCAAACAGAGTGAAAAGGTACTATTTTTTTCTCCCGATGAAACAGTTAGCGAGATACCGTAAGTTAAATATTGAAAAAGTTACCAAGTTTTCCTTAAATATTTCGAAAGATATTAGGCAAATAAAAGAATTTTTCAGACAAAAGTTGTTCAAATTAATTGGTAGAAAAAGATGATATATATTAAAAAATTAAGATTTCCATTCAAGACCAAAAGTAATGATCAAAAGTGAGTATCTCGAAAATGGCGCCATCTATAAATGATATAGTTGTTTTATGCTTCCCTTGAAACCATACAATTTTTGTCTGGAACATTTTCTTCTAAAATGCTTAGTTTTCGAGATATTTCACCGTCCTGATATTTTTTATATATCTTACATAATAAATAATTGCATATATATGTATACACATGTAAAAATATTTTACATTCAAAATCAAATTGACAGCGTTTAAAACACGGAAGATACACAAAAGGATTTTCTGCCAAGCGATCTATTTACTCCATCAATAGACAAGATTAATTAACTTTCTTGAGTTGTAATGGAAATTATAAATTTATCAAAATTCTGATAGAATTCTATCAATAGATGTGTTATTCGGATTTCCAATGCTAATTTGAAGAAGCGCAAAAGACAAATTTCAGCAAACGTTCCAAGAGAGCGTTAGACGACACATTTCGCAAGCGTGGCAGTATTACGGTTCCCTAAATAGAGAAATCTATGTAAGGGAATGTAGGCGCCTGACGTGAATGCCCCGAATGTCGCGTACGGTACGTTGAAAAGTCGATCGGAAAGACGTTGACGGCGTAATGCCAATTCCGCACGGGGAAGTACGTGTCGCCTACGTGAAGATAAAGATGCCGAGAGACAGTGTTATATTATTCCTATTACTCCTATTTTTTTTCTCCTCGCATTTTTGCCGCGCGCAAATATAATATAATATGCGCGCTCGACAAAGCCTCAACTGGCAAGGCCTCGAGAGCTTTACGTAACGGAAAAGCCCCGAATCTCTGGTAAAGAGAAGCTAAACTGCTTTTCTTTTCGCTGCAAATTTAATTATGCGTTTCGTGCGTTTCTCGACGTGCGTCATATTTCAGCTTATCACTCGCAAAGTATTAGACCCACTAGGAATTCTTCCATTATCAAGTACCCTATGCGAACGCTTAACAAAGCTTCACCGCAGAAGCGAGTCTGTTTCCGCAATCGTTTCCGCGTTACCTCGTAACGACCATCCTCGGTGGCGCGAACAAACTGTATCCCGCCTTGCGCCGCCAACTCCAGCAACTCGTTGCAGTCCTCCATCGATGGAGCCGAGTTCGAGGCGCTTTGCCGGTGGTCTGGTTCATCGCGATTCAGCTCGGAGAACGAAAACTGCGAATCCAGCGCCGTCACCAGATCGTTGTCCGCTAACGGGATCGGAGGATCGGGAAAACATTCGGATGATAATTCAAGAGAAAATTTAGAAAAAGAAATTGAAAAAATGCGAAGAATTTTTCTTTTTCTCTGTCGGATGGTGAATATCGCGCGAAGTCGACGGGCGTTCACCTTGCTCATGTTCCGTGCCGGGCGGCTCGACGATGAAGCTGGATTTGCCGTCGGGTTCGATGTTTTGCATCACCGTGGCGACTACGGGTACCTTCACCTGCACGGCCTTCCCACCATCGGTGTCTCCCGTGGCCTCGTTGGGATTCGGAGTTATTTTCCCGGCCATTCGCAAGTCCTCGGCAGTCGCGGGTGTAAGTGCCTGCGGTGAGCGGTCCGTTTTCGTACGTTTTCGTCGAATTTCGATAGCAATTTCGCGGACTCTAGTAACCGAACGCGCTAATTTCATTTGCAATATTGATCGTTTTTCGTCCTCGCGCGTGCGGAGACGCTATTCTAAAGCTAACGGCGAGAGCGAGATAAAAACGTGATCGGAACAATGTTGTTCCGTTCTGCAGCCTTCGTGTCGGTTGGTGTATGTGTGTGTGTGTGTGTGTGTGTGTGTACAATGGCGAGATATCATAAATCCCGCAACAATTTTGCACCGATTTTTTTTGTTTAGAATTTTATTCATCTTCGTCGCGAGTATTTCGATCTTTGCTGAATATGTACGTGATGCTCGCGAATAAAAATGAATACTGATTAATACGCGATACATTAATGACTCAGTAACGCGAGGTTGTCGCTGATGACGCGCTCTGCGTCTGCAACTAGCTGCGCTTATAAAAGCTGCAACTAGTTGCGCTTATAAAAGCTGCAACTAGCTGCGCTTATAAAAGCTGCAGCTAGAAGGGAGAAGGATTACCCACGGCAAGATAAACGAAATAACAAGTATACTCACAAAACATCGAATCTCTTCGCTGTAATATTGGGTATATAACTTTTAATTAGGTTCTTACGAAATCAACTAAAGTCCGAGCTTTATTGAATGTGCGCTCTAGTTGATAAAAAGAATAATCATACTAGAACGAATTTTGAAAATATCAAATTAATCTTGCAACGACTTGATAATTATCTTCAACATCTAAACGTAGTTTCAAAATTTTATGAACGTTTGAATTGTTTTAATCTCATAGGCAAATTTCTGAAAGTAAACAAATGTACGTTTCTGGATAATAGAAATAACTTGTGTACCTATCATTTCCGCCAAGAATCTAGAATCGTGGAATAAGGCAATTGTATGCAGTAGATACGAATGATACTTACGTGTTTATTACTCGCGGTGGCCCAAACCTTAACAAGAATCGGTATACCTTTGGCCGGCTTGTAGAGAGCAAAAGGAACTTGGCCTTGGAGCAACGCCATCTCCATCGCCTTTGTATCAATTTTATCTATCACGATGCTGTCCGCTAAATCCAACTTTCATACAACAAGATTGCAACATTGATTACACATATGCGATTCGTCGTGTATTCGTTACAAGTGAAATCGCCACTAACCGAGTCAAAGTAATCTCTCCCCTTATTTTCGCTCGTTTGACCTCGATCGCCGCCATTGTACAGCTGTATGATTCGGACGTTTTTGCTGAAAACACACACAATGATCATGTACAGGGTGTCCAATTTTAATCTATCACTCCTCGTGACTTTGCAGAGAGCGGTCGTAGAGAAAAATGTTTCAGACAAAAGTTGTATGATTTCAAGAAGGGCATAAAACAACTATATCATTTTGTTTACGAATGATGCCACTTTCGAGATATTCACTGAATGAATGCACAATTTTTTATCACATGATCTTTTTCTACCAATTAATTTGGACAACTTTTGTCCGAAATATTTTTTTATTTACTTAATATTTTTTGAGATATTTAAGGAAAACTTGGTAACTTTTTCAACATTTAACTTACGATATCTCGCTATTTGTCGGAAAAAAATAATACTAGACTTTTTTGCTTTATTTGGTCTCGAGAAAATATATATATATATATATATATATTGCTACAATAGTGCCGTAACTTTTGTTAACTTATTGACTTTTAGAAATTTCAAAATTGTCAAATTAACAAAAGATAGATGATAGACTAAAATTGGACACTATGCACAGGATGTCTCAAACCATCTGGACATTCTCTCAACGGAAACGCAGAAAGGGTCGAAATGAGCATAAAAGTCCCGTACTATTTTGCGAAGTTCACAATAATTATCGAGTTATTAATTACAGAAATCTGACGAATGAGCGCGCGCCGAGATAGTATCGAAGCTTTGCAGCCGCTCGGACTATAGCGTGGTCCAGTCAATCTGTTGCCGGCGCGTGTTCAGGGGAAGGACAACGCATAGGAGCTACGAAATAAGACTAGCGCATAGCCGAATGGCGACGCATTGTCCTTCCCTTCGCCACGTATCAGCAACAGTTCTTAAATCGACTGAGCCCGAGTGGCTGCAATGCTTATCCAATCATTTATCTCGATTCACTCCTCAAATTCTATAATTAACCCTTTCACTGCTGAATTAACTTCCCTTGAGAAAATTTTTCAAATATTTGGTAGTCCTACGTTTTTTTGGGTCGCTAATTACAAATCTGAAGTCAGACTTGCAAAATCGAAAATGGCGGACTCAATGTATGGCGATCATGATGTACAAAATTAATGAAAATTCCAATTATTATTAAATAATGACCAGGTCGTAATAAGAACATATGACTCTAGACGATGGGGAACTCGATCGAGCTGGAAAAAATGTATGTGGGAAAATGTTCAATATCTGCATATTTATGCTCACTGGAGATTAAACATTCATTTTTGAGTAAAATAATATTGATAGTATGGATAAGATGGAGATACAGAATGAAAAAACTAGAAAGATAGAGTTAAAAAGTGCAAAAAGATCAAATTTCGGCCGTTTTTGTGGAAACATTTATAAAAAAAAAAAAAAATCTAACCTGCAAAAAAATACTGCAAAAAATATGTTTTTGTACAACATGAAAAATATTTGGTGAAAATTTCAGACCTCTATCGTTCAATACTCTCCGAGGAATCGATTTTTCCCTGAAAAAAGCATTTTTTTCAACGTCGATTTGTTTTAAATAATCACAAACGAATAATTGGGTGCAAAAACCTATTGGAGTATATGTTGAACAACTATCCAGTTATCTGGAAAACTCAAATCCCCGATTGGTTCTTCCAAATTATGTGATTTACAAAGCAAAATTGAATCAAGAAAAAGTGGGAAGTATACTTGCCACTAACAGTGAAAGGGTTAATAATTTTGTACCGTTGCGAATTTCGCAAAATGGATATGGGACTTTGCGTTCGCTTTGACCCGCTCTATGCCTCCACGAAAGATCGCTCAGGCGCTTCGGGACACCCTGTATATCGCGCGCTGAATATTCCCGGTAGACTTTTGATACCATCCCCCACGTGACACGACAATTCGATATATAATTACGGGCTTTCCCGTGCTGCAGGTAAACTACCGTTAATTATCGACCTTGTCAACTTTGACCTCTTCCGCGTACCTCTTCGCGACATTAGACTCGTTCGTCGCGGCTGCGGATTGGACATTGCCCGTGCTCCGATATTTCACGCCATGCTTATATTCCTCGTGCGACCTCAAAGCAAACCTGCGTGGAAACTCCTTTCCGCACACTCCGCAAGAGTACTGCATCTTGTCGGCGTGTGCATGCGCCTTCACCTTGTGGCAAACCAAATTCGACATCTGATTGAAGCCCTTGCCACAGAGATCGCACTTGTACGGCCTCTCGTTGGTGTGCGTGAAAACGTGGTTGCGCAAATTGCCTGAAGAAAGAATCGGAATTAATCGACGGATCCTCCCGACGGCCTCCCGACGAGTGGCGGCGATGCACCTTGCGAAATCAATCAACCCGGAGAGAGAGAGAGAAAGAGAGAGAGAGACTTAACCGTAAAGAGAAAGCCGGCTCCTCATTAAACCGAGGGTTACGCGTTTCGCGTGATTGACATTTTCACAATCGATTGCAAAAGAGAGAATCTGCCTGCTGTCCAGATATTATTACGGTAGTAGACGGTTACGTGTTATTTATACGTGTGTCCTCTGATACCTTTCTGATGAAATCCCTTGCCGCACACGTGGCACTTGTGCGGCTTGTGCTCCGAATGCGTTTTCCGATGGGAGATCAACGTGGATACTCTGGAAATTCGGATTACCTTATCAACAGGATGGTTACGAGATCCCATCGTAATCGAGGAAACGAAGCTCGCTGGGATGGAAGATATCGCGGGGAAAGATCGATCTCGCGTCTCGCGTCGAAACTTAAACCGGTCGGCATCAGGTTGGTGGAGAAGGCGATTACCGACCTATTAAACGTTTTCTTGCAGAACTCGCACACATAGGGCCTGGCGTCGCTGTGTATGGCTTTATGCTGGCTCAATGTTGACAGCTGGCGGAAGGCTTTGCCGCAAGCTTCGCATTTAAAGTTTCTCTCGTCTGTGTGCGTCGGCAGATGTCTCATCAAGGTGTACTGATGTCGGAACTCTTTTGAACCTGATTCGAATATTAAACGTAAAAGTTTCTTATAACGAAAACGAGTCGGCTGGCGCGCGCGCGCGCGGGTGTTAGGAAGTAATTACTCGTCGCGCCGCGTGATCCAACTAGAGAATTCTCATGTCGCGTCTGCCGCGAGAGGAGAAAATAAGATTCCGTCCGTTTCATCTCGATCTCGATCTCGCGTGCGAGATACATGCATCTCGCTCGCGTGATTGGTAATCAATAATTTAACATAAAGACGAAGAAAATGGAACGGTTATTCTGATCGCCTTGATCGGCGAGGAGGAAAAACCGCGAGAGAGTTACGCACAGATGCCGCATTCCCAAATTTTCAGCGTCTTGCCGTCTCGCTTTAAATACTTGACGAAATGCAACCTCGATCTCGGATCGTCCTTATCGATGAGTCGCGTCGTCGAGTTCGGGGGGCCGTCGGCGACGGGGTGCGAGTACACGATCATATTCTCGTCCGGCGCGCTAACGCTTTGCTCGAGAATCTGAAAATGCGGAAATTCCAAATTTCAACGAGAATACCAATAGGAACGGTGAGCAAGGGGAATTCCTCTGTCCCCCCCCCCGGTCTCCGTCAAGTATCGAGGAATTCGACGGGTAAAAGCGGGATAATACGCGCGACAATCAGTCGCCAGCCTTTTTCCGGGATTACGTTCGCGCTGTGAGAAATCTGTGAGCGGTCTCCTCTCCCAAGGACGGCGGCTGCTCCTTTCGTCGTAATTGCGCTATATCGCGCGCGCGCGCGTAGCAGATAGGCAAATACTTGGCGCATAAAAGCGTAAAAACGAGCGTATGCAAATGAGATTCTTCAAACTAAGAAGAAAGGGGTACAAAGTGAGAAGAATGGGCCAGATAAACGGGACGCCGGCGGCGGCCGCGTCAGGCGAAATATTTCATGCAAACTGTTGCTGCTGTAACGATACGCGTCGCCCAGCGACAAACAACTTTCACGCTAATAGTTCGACAAATATTTAAGATACCTTGCCTGTGCACTTACTTTATACCTTAGCGCGTCCTTGCCGAGGAATTTCGCGACAGCGCCATCGATATTGATCACGTCGGAGTCGATGGCCGCATCCATGTCCATGCACTCAGCCTTGAAAACGGTATCACATGATAGCGGATCTTTCTCATCGGTAAAACTGCCATAGCGATTAATTACTTGGATCAGCTGCTGGTCGGATGCGCTGCCCAATTCCGGCACGCTCGGCGGCGCATCGTTCTTCGAGTCCAAGCCCGACGACGTCTCCTCCTTCACGTAAACCTCGTAAACGCTGCGTCGCGCAACGGATTGGTCTCATCAATTCCGGAGATTAGTGACGCGATTAGTAACGCGATTTGCAATCGTAAACTGCGCACAAGCTTTCTCCCCCGCGCTGTATCATCATCGTCACCACGTTCGTTCGAAAGCTAATTATTTATCTCGAGAGCCTCGCGACATCTTTGCGAAAGGAATGCGCAAGAGTAATCCGCCGGTGTTTAGACATCTGATCGAGCAGCGAATTTCTTTTCTTTCCTTCCGGCAAAGCAAGCTCAAACGACCGAAAGCGTCCGCAAATTTATCCGTCAAAAGTTACACACACGCGCGTAACAGTGCGTGTAACAGATGGCACCGATTTCCGCCGGGGAAACGATATCACCTCCCGTTAAAATTGTGCGATTTCATCATTGTTTTCTCGTTTGCCCTTCTTCCTTTTTTCCCCTCCGGGACACGACGTTCAAATAAAGTAGTTCACGTCCGTGCTTACGCCAACGTATAGCGCACGAGCTCACCTGATAACTTCGTCCGGAATGGGACGAGGATATTGCACCTGCGCATCGTCGTACTGAGTTTCCCCTACGAAGTCGAAAAGCATCCGTGGGAAAGTGTTGTCTTATCTCAAAAATAATGACGGCGACGGTACATCGCTGCGCGCGCTCGCGCGCGGATATTTGCTATTTTACATCATCCCGGCGCGATCGCGCGGGCGTTTAATATTCCGCTGGCAATGGCCCGAAATTTATACCCCTCGTGATTACGCGCGGCGATGTTTCATCGTCCATCTTTTTATCTTTTCGCATCTTATTGCGCTATCCCGTGCGGCGCGATTAAAATTGTCGCGTCGATCTGACAGAGACCACACGTATATCCCGAAGCACACACGGATACTTCGAACAAGAGAAATCCGAGCCGCATGATGTGATGTTATCTGCGAGGAGACCGATCGAAAGCATCCTCGAGCTTCGCTCCGGAACTTCTCCGCGCGCGCAAGAGAGAGAGAGAGAGAGAACGAGAGAGAAAGCGAGAGAGCGAGAGAGAGAGAGAGAGAGAGAGAGAGAGAGAGAAAGAGAGAGAGAGAGAGCACTATTGTTTGGGTAAAACGTAAAGACGGCTAATCGGCGTGTAGCATCTCGAGCAAGACAAAGCTTGCATCGCGCTTCGTTATAGCGTGACCTTGACTCGACTTTCGTCCTGCACGAGCAACGCCACACGACTTCGACGACATTGTCACACACGCTCTCATTTTTCCCCAATTTGTTGTCGCGTTGTTGAAGGATTGTTTATTATATCTTGCAGTACGTCTGATCAAAAACTGACATCGTCGTATTTATCGTCGACTCATCCACCGATCGGGGGTATAAATCATTAAAACCGTGATTGTAATTCTGATGCGAGATAAATGGTGAGAGCAAAAATGAAACGATATTGATCACTACAACCAAACCAAATACATGTGCATGTACGTAAATTTTCCAAAGAAGAAAAAACCACAACTCCGTCAATTATGTGACAACGTGCAGTTCAATAATGTCCCACGGTTTATCATAAAATCATAAAGCATACTCAGGACGGTATCTTGCGAGAGAGACAGCGACTATTCCCCGAAAATGTTTAAGGACCTCCTCGTACGATGCAGACATGCGGTTTCATTCACAGCATTTCATCGTCGGAAAATTCCATACTCGAAAAGTCGACGGGAACGGCGCGACCGATCGTCTCTTCGGCGGTCGTGGCGCGACTCGCAACGATCGCGATAACGATGACGGCTCGGCCCTCGGCTTTTTTGTCTCTCCGACATTAAATAAACGAAAGCCGCCATGATCACAGCTCATTTTTCACGCGATGCACGTGAACATCCGCGCGCGCACGTATCCGTGGTCCTGCTCGCGATTCGACCGCCGACACGACATCAGCGGTAACGACGACGACCACGACGACGACGACGATGACCACGAGCGCGACGACGACGACGACCGCGACCACGACGACGACGACGACGAGGTCGACCACAAGGTCGTCGTCGTCGTCGACGACGACGTCGACGACTACCACGATGACGACAACGACGACGAAAATGACTACGTAACGTTACTCACAGTTGTATCCTTGTAACGAGTTATTCCGCGACATTTCTCGCACCGATCGTCCTGGGCCCTGGTGCTGCCTGCTCCCGGTCAACGTCATTCGCATCGACCACCACCGTGGATCCTAAGGATCCTAAGGAATCAGATCATGTACCACCGCGTGAACGCCGTCTACCGGCGAGCTTAGAATTTAGAATCGGCAGGAGCGTGTCCTTTCGAACTCTAGCCTCCTTTCGCTTCTCCGCGTGAAGCTTAATCGGTAACACTCGAAACGTCGCGATTCAATTTTTCCACGATTCTTGACGCGCGACTGCTGACATTGAAATTAACTCGAGCGTGTCCTGACAGCCGTTGGTAAATGTCAAAGTGATAAAATATCTACGACGCTAGATATGCGAGCAAGATATGCAATTTAATGAATGGTGTACAAGAATGTTTCAAAAAAAGCGTTTGAGATTTTAAGGACAGATAGTACTCACAAAATAGAGGAAAAAAGTGAACTTAGGTCCTGATGAACGTAGGTTAAAAGATTAATATTATCAGAGTTATAAACAATTATGTATTTCAATTGAAGCAAGTAACTTGCTTCTGATGCTTAGAGAATTTACAAATTTTCTACGTGTCCTCCTCTTATTTCTACACACGCTTCACATCTTTGCACCATAGAATTGCCAACTCTTCCAAAAACTCCCGGCTTCGTCCTAACTGTTTGACAAACATTTTCCATTTACATTTGTATTCTTCGGTTAATTGATTTGTTATTTATCGGTGAGGAATGCTCTTAAAAAATCTTCATAAAAAATGGATCCACCTAATCCATTTTTTACCAAAGGACCTTTTTTTGTTAACGGGAGGAAATCCACATGGATACCCTCCCCCCCTCCCCAAGAAGGGGATTATATCGGACTCTTGCCGACTAAAACCCTTCTATATTATACGGACTATAATAGTGCCCTAATTCTTTTCTTAATTTATCGATCTTTGGAAATTTTAAAATTATTAAATTAACAAAAGTTAGGCCACTATTATAGTACGTATAATATATTCTTGATAGTAAATAAAGTAAAAAAAGTCTAATATTATTATTTCTTTACGGCGAATAGTTAACGAGATATCGTAAGTTAAATGTTAAAAAAGTTACCAAGTTCTCCTTAAATATTTCAAAAAATATTAGGCAGATAAAAAAATGTTTCAGGCAAAAGTTGTTAAAATTAATTGGTAGAAAAAGAAGATATAATAAAAAATCGGGCTTTCCATTTAAAAAAAAATTAAGTTGACCTTAAACTGACCTTGAAAATGCTCTCCAAATAAAAAACTGATAATCCCTTTCTCTTTCCCCTTCGAAATCATGGAACACGTGTTTCAGCTTTTTTAATATCTTTCATAGTTTTCGAGATTTTTTACCTGTTACGTTTGAAATTTAGCACCCTGTATATAATGTTAGACGAATTACATCGGAAAGTACAAAATGCCCATCGAATAGAACAAAACCGAAGATTATTAAAAAAATTCATAATTATTTAGTACGAAGATATAAACGTGTGTGTAGAAGCAGGAGAAGGGCATGTAAAAAGTCTTCTGTAAGCACTTTGTAAGCACCAGAAGCGAATAGGTCATTTACTTTAATTAAAATAAATAATTGTTCACAAGTCCGGCAATATTAATTTTTCGGCCAACATTTATTTATTTTCTCTACTTTATGAGTACTGTCTGCCCTTAAAGTGGACCCTTTTTAAAATATCCCGCATACATTAGAAAAAATTACAGACAAATATTTATACAGCCATTTGCAAACTCTATTAACTTTCTACTTCTTCCAATGTGACGTGAAGATTCTAATTCCAAGATTTCAAGAGAAACTGGATTATCTCTCGATCGTTAAAAGAGTCCCGAAATTGTGTTATTTCTCGACAAGGAGCGCGTTTTTAGCTCCAGATGCGTTCTTCCTCTCAAGCCTCGACTCGCTCAAAGTTCGGCCTTATCCCTTGCTACGTCGGGCCCGGATATTTGCGCGTGTAGCATTAATATGCCGGGAAACATCTGGATATCCCGTTCGATCGGCGAACTAACGGAAACCATCTCAAAAGCCGAAGAACTACTCTCCTCCTGTTTTCGAATTCCGGTCAGGTATGTCGGCAATGGCGCTTCCCACCTACCTACCGACACGGACTCCGCCATACTCGCCCGACTCAATTATGACTTGCTACTTCTTGTTAGCCGCTGTTTAAGTTACTCTAGCCTTCCTTCCCACAGTCCTTCCTTCCTTCCTTCCTTCCTTCCTTCCTTCCTTCCTTCCTTCCTGCCAGCCTGCGTCTCCTTATTCTCACAATGAGTCGGCCGTCGCTTCCGTCTTTCGCGTCCATTCTCCCGTGGAAACTGAGAAACACAGTTTTCTCCCTCGTCAGCGGCCTGAGACGTTGGAATGAGACGCGACGAGCCAATATAACGAGTAAAATGTATTCATTAAATTTTGATCCCGTCTTTCGCGATTTCCGATTTGTTCCTTTGTGCAGATTTCAACTCGTACAATCTCGCCCGATGTTTCATTATTCCGGAAGTTTTGTGAGAGCACGTAACGTTCACGGTTTTGTCCATGTTGCTCAATTCCATCGTGTGTTTCAACTCCATCTTAAATTAAAAAACAAAAATCGACATGTATAATATTTACGATCGGCTCTGCGCGAGAAAAAATGTACCGACAAATATGCGCGGATCGACGCGTCAGTGCGCCGATGTTTGCCAGCTACTTGCAAACTGTCGAGGAAGTGACGACAGTCCTCTTCCCGACTGTTCTTACTGTAAACTTTGTCTCTTTGGCGCGCGCTACATGAGCGGAACAAAGCATACTTCTGTGTCTCCTCGATAGCATAGTATCACGAACACGCGGGAAGAAGCTCTCGAATGACGTTAGAAATCGTCGCGCTTCAAGCATACGTAAGAACGTAATTTTGGCACGCAGGACCTCTCTGGCGGAGAAATTTCGACAAGATGTAACGTAAATTAGTCAGATTTGTCAATTCGATCCGCTCCGATCGATCCGGAGTTCAATGCAAGAGCGGCAGGCGTAACGATAAAAGTTTACTCGAGAAGATGGCGCTTTGTCACTGGCGAAGCCAACTTTCATTTCAGATTTTCCGCTTTTGCCCGTGAAAATAGACACTCGCCCGTATTTTTAGATAACGCGGAATTTTCTTTCCTTCTTGTTTTCTTTCTCTGCTTGCTATATGGAGTGCGAGTTCTCGCTCTAAACTATCGATCGAAATTCTTCGCGAGAACGCAAGATTTCTCAATAAAGGCGCGGTCATTAAAATGCCGAAAGAATTGTTTTCTCAGCGAACATTTGATTTACCTCATCAGTGAGTTCTTAACTTGGGCGTGGGGTTTGAATAGCGGTCGGGTGCTCGAACGAAATGCTTTCACGAACTCGACTCGGTGAGTGGCTGTAGAAAGGTGTGAGAATCTCAGCGCGACAGAGAGAGAGAGAGAGAGAGAGAGAGAGAGAGAGAGAGAG